GAAATGGATTAATTTAAGCTATAAGAACAGTTAGCAAGAAGCCTGCCACGGCCATACAGTTTGTAAGCAATATAAGTCTCTTGTGTTTACTTGGTTGGGTCTGAGCGGCTGTGGGACTGGCGGGTGACAGAGATTTGTCCTGACTGTGGACAAGGCAGGAAAACTCTAGCTACAGATGACAGAAACAAAATAGCACATACTACAGGTCCAGCAGCCCTGATCTGGAAACCTGAGACTTTTTGAATAATGACAGGATGGTCTGAAGTGTTAGGGTTTGGAATGTTTGGGATCTTTGGATTAGGCATGTTTAGTTAGTAAGTCTCAAGCATTTTGGATATGGCTATGCAGTCCGTTTGTCTATCTGTCCACCTGTCTCATATGTGCCTCTTGCATTAGGTCCTTCCTCACACACTTACAAATGCTCTAAGTTCATGTTCCTGACCCTCTTCTTCGCCTTTACCGCTGTCCTGGATGGAAAGGCTCTGGGCACTGAGTGCTTTCCAGCTTCAGACTGTGTTTCCTTCCCTTGAGTCACACAGGAGGCCAGCAGGTGTAAGGTGGCTGGACCACATGCATGAGCATCTGGATCGCGGGCTCTGACACAGGCAGAAACGGGGAGGGTGGGAAGGCTGGTCCTTCGCCCTCTGGTTGGCTGATGACGTTAACTACCTGGTGCATTAGTTACCGTTCCTTTAGTGTTATAAAATACCTCAGACAATGTAAAAGGAGGGAAGACTTATTTTGGCTCACAGTGTTGGGGTTTTGAGTCTGTTGTAGTTGGGACTGTTGCTTTGGGGTCTCTGTTAAGTACCTCATGTCAGGAGGACATTCATAGTGGAGACCTATTCACTACATGTCCAGAAGGAAAGAGGAAGGAGAAAAGACCAGCACCCCACCAGGCCCTCTGAAAGCACACCCCCAATGACCTAACTCCCCCTATTAGGCTCTACCTCCTTTTAAAGGCCCAACACCTCCCACAATCTGAAACACATGGGGTTGGGGGTGCAGGGGACGGAGGTGGGGCGGGGATGGGGTGGGGGAATGACATTCAAGATCAAAACTGGTCACCAGTTTTTTTGAGTGACAGTGTCTTCAGTGGTGAGAGCAGCAGAAATAGGTATTATTTTAGAGTGTAACTGAGAAGGTAGAACGAGACGATTCTTTTTATTGTTTTCATTGTTGAGACAGGGTCTTACCCTGTAGCCCATGCTGTCCTGGAACTCATTATGTAGCCCAGGCTGGCCTCAAATTTGTAGTAATTCTCCTACCTTGGCTCCTGAGTGTGAAAATTACAGGCGTGAGCCACAATTTCTAAGGCTGTGTGTGTGTGCACGTGCACGCTCTGACACTGAACTGCATCCCCAGCAGAATGAGATGATTCTTATGAAAGTATCTGTCATATCAACAACAGTTCATGTTGACAGAAGCCAATTACTATGTGCCAAGAACAGCTCAAACTATCGTTCTCGTACTGAATCAAGGCAATAACATCTCTTCATCATACAAGGCAACGCTGATGTGTGATTGGGATTCGAACCCCTGGATTTGATTCCACCATTCTCGGCTACCTCAAAAATATGTTCTGTGATGAAGCTGTTCATCATTGTATCTTTAGGAAACCTCCACCCGTACATGCTCACACACATCCTCTCTAACCATTCTGCCCTCCTTCCTCCCTCTGTTTACAAGTGACAAAACACCAGGCACCACCTGGTCACCAGCAAAGACCCATGCATCGCTTTCATTGACCCGCCCTAGTTGTATTCCTGGACGGCGAGTTCCTTTTTCTTTTATTTCTTCCCCAACACATTATCCAGGCTGTACATTCACCTGAGTAGCAAGGGGTGTGCAAGGTACATGATAAATAGAGGGCAGAACCCTTGATGCCGGAGCCTGGGCTGGGTCCACTGGAATGCAGGTAGACACTTGCCAGCCTGCGTGTCTGGGACTCTGAGTTTGGTCTCATTAGGCTGGACCTGGCTATGCTGTTGACTTGCAGAGGTGAAGTTTCTATTCCTCTTTGGGTTCTTCCTCTTTCTCTTTCCATTCCCATTCTTCACAGCTGCTCCAGCCGTTCCTCGTTGTTGTGGCTTCAACTGACAAAGACTGGGGTGCAGATAAGGGTATACTGCCCGTGGGGGAGCACAGCACTTGCTCCGCTGGGAGGTTCTCAGGGAAGGCACTGCCAACAGCACTTGGTTTGGTAGAGTTTCTTTTCCTGAGATGGAAAGGGAGGATGGGAACCACCGGGGACTACTATTTTGAAGTCGCTTTCTGGGTCAGAAATTTCTGTTACTAACGATTCTTAGGTATTTGTTGCTGTTTTGCTTTGGAGAATTTCTCATTTTATCTATGAAATTTAGTCCTGTGGCTTGAAGGTGGCTTGGCTCCTTTTGTCATCCAGTCATGACAGGGGTGAGTCCACTGAGACCTGATCTGTCATACTAGCCACGGACCCAAAGCTGCTTCATCTGTGTGCACCTCATTTCAGGCAGTCATGGTGGGGGGGCTCTATCTTGCCCGGAGAAGCTTTTTGAACATTCTAAGACACTGACCTCTGGATCTCCACTCTACATCATCCACTCTTCACACCACATCAGAATGAAATGGGAAACTTTTACTCCTTGGTGGTTTGAATTGGGGCTTAGGGGAGTTTGTTGGAAAGGTACTGTCCTTGGCTCCTGGATGGTTCCAACTATGCAGATTGACATCGACCTATGCTATAAAAACAGAATAGGCCAAGATGAAAAGAAGTCTGTGAGATTTAAAGTGGATCCAAAAATGGGGTTACAGCCAATACTTGTTTAGGGTAGTCTTGCTTAGGAATGGGAGAACCATGTCTTAGACATCAAGGGTATGTGGATGGACGTGAGGGCGATTTGGCTATGACACCTGGGTATTCATCACCAGAGCTGATTTTGTTCATCTGGATGGCTAAAGGGGTACCCCATCCCTCCCCCATCACTCCATGTGTATCTATCTCTCTAGGGCTGTATGCTCCATCAGAAAGGACAGTGTCTTCTATGGCGGAGGACCACTCTTTGGTTAGTGATACACAAGTAGCTGTACTTTCCTGCTGGAAGCTCCAAACGGCTCTCAAGAAGGCTGTGTGGGAATATGTCTATTCATGATTTACGTAGGAGCTGTGAGCGTGGACTGTGGGTCAGAAAGACTTGGTTCTGACCTTTGCTGGAAGAACAACCCCAATGAAGTTATTTCTCGAGAGCTCAACGTTCTCGTTTATATGACAGATAATTGTGAGTAACAGTATATGCCACACAGGTCTGTGTAGTAGGGTAGATCTGGCTGTAATAGAAACACCTAGAACACGAGGCTCTTCAACAAGAAGGACATTCATTTGTCTCCTATATAAAGGTCTATGTAAGTGATTTAAGACTAAAATGGTTGGTCTGTGTTCACTAGGACTCAGGGTCTTTGTGTTTTTTACCTGTCACCTTTGAACTACAGCTTTCATTTCCATGAGGAAATGAAAACGCAAGAGGGCCGCCCAGCCTCCAGAGAGTTTCATTCTAGCTAGCATGAAAGAGAAAAGAGGAGGGAATTTTTTTTGTGACACTATTCTAGAGATACAACACTACTCTAGAGTGTAGTAACAAACCTCTCCTCACCGCAAACAGGGAACCAATGACAGACCAAAGTGAGGGCACCAGCTGAGTCCAACATGGTGAATCAGTGAGTTTTATTGGGGTTACATACAGAAATATGGGCAAGGGGTTACTACAGGAGCAGAAATGACTCAGACACAGCTGTGTCTCCAAAGCCCACCCCAGTATGGTGCAGCTCATGAAAGCTGGAAACAGAGTTCATTTATCAGCCTGCACGTAGCTCAACAGGCTGGAGAGCATCCTTCTCAGGTCATTCAGTTGGTGTGAACTCCTTTCAGGCAGCTGGGCGGGTCTGTTTCTCCCGGGTAGCTTGGCTGGCCTGAGCTTCTTTTAGGTAACTTAACTTCTCCGATAGTGGTCATAACGGTCTTTATAGCTACCCATGCTTGGGGGCCTATTGCATCAGGGAAGTTTTAGGGACTTCCTGGAACCTTTGAATTGTTTACTTCCTGTCTTGAGGAGCTCCCCTGCATGATAGAATGTTTCACTTCCCTTTAAAACATCCTATTGTCTCATCCTCATGTTGACATCCTGTGTTTTAAGGAGAGCCCCTCCACGTTGGGCGGTTTTAACCTCAGAGGGAACTCCTCCACAAGGAGTTACGTGGGTAGAACTAAATCTTACAGAGGAGCCAGCTATAACAGAAGTGGAGGAATTAGGAGATGAGATTTGTGTTTAGACAGGCATGTGCTAACTAGTACATCTCTGTCACTGTCAAAGAGGGGGAGAATAAAATGGTATTGAGTCGTTAAGACGACTAGCACCCTCAAATACAGACATTTGTGAGATTTAAACATGGCAATCCAAGTTGAGAGAAACCCGAACAATAGCTGGGCATAGAGTCATCACTCACCTGTCGTTCCCATTGCCATCTTCATCCTCTCCGAGAGAAGGTGGAGGATATTTCACAACTATGACGATGGGTTTCCTTATTTCAACTGCATCTTGCTGATAAAGTAATCCCCGGCGGCTTCTCTTCTTTTAAAAGAAGTTTCACCTTTTATATCGTTTTTATTTCATTTTGGTTTGTTTGAGACAGAGTTATGCTTTGGAGCCCGGGCTGTCCCGAAACTCACGATGCAACCTAGAGTAGCCTCAAACTTACGTCAATCCTCCTGCATCCTCCTCCTAAGTGCTGAGATGACAGGTTTCAATCTTGCTGTCCAGCTTTTAAAGATCCCTTTAAACATGCCCTCATAAAGGGAAACCGTGTAAGCAGGAAAGCAAGGCAAAGGTGAATAGAGCATGCAGGTGATGGTTGTCTTGGGTAACACACACAGGGATGGGTTGAAGGGTGGTCTGGGAATCATCTCTTTAGATGCATGCTATTGTCCAAGTCCTAGCTGGTGTTTTGGGTAGCAGGTCCACAGGTGCCTATGGCATTATTAAATAACTATAACCAAATAAAAACAGAAACACACAGACCAATGATCCAATAATAAACATGTGCCATGAATCTGGAACTACAACTGATGTAATTCTATATACTTTTGGTCCTTAAATTACCTTCATGTACACTATATTACCTGATATATGCATTTGCACGTCAATACAAATCATACTTTTTTTTAAAATAGATTTCCAACAACAATTTCTTTTTTTGTAATGCTTTGCTGGGGCTCATACTGAGGGCTTTGCACACGATCAGCATATACTTTCTTACTGCCCTCCAGCCCAGCCTGACTTCCAGCTTCTGAAGTGCTTTTACACATCCTTAACAACGCTCGCTTGAGCAGCTCGCTGCAGATGACCGAAAGCTCAGTGGTTGACCAACAGGACTCTGGGTTTTATTTTGATCTTATGTTACCTCTACAATGTGGGTACAGCAGATGTTATTTCCACTACTTTTTAGACAGGAAGGAAGAAATTGAGGGACTTTTGTGAGGTCACATGGCTAGCCAGTGTTAGAATCCAAGGCTCTGGGTCTCTTTGTAGAGTGCCTTTCCTGTGGCTCATCCTACTGTCCGGCTGTTCATTGGTTACACATTTACACTGTCCTGTGCCGGATGTCTTGTCCTTTTGAGCTGTGTTCACATGAGTGTACTTTTGGGGTGTGTATGTGGAATATGTGTCTTAGCTGTCCTGTGTGTTCCCTAGGTGCATCTGGCCTTTGTAACTCCAGCAGAAACTCCCCCGTGGATTTCTGTGATCCGTTGGTCCCAGGACCTCAGGTTTAGGCACTGCCCCAGAATTCCCCTTGCACAGGAAGGCAGCTCAGTATCAGGAACAGGTTGCTAGGCAATGGGAATGGAGCAAGAAGCAAGGAAGCAACGCTTGAGGACCGGTGGTGTTTAATATCTCCTGAGAACTGATGCTGTATGCCTTGTGAAGCGTTATCATAGATGCCATCTCATTTAATTGTTACTCAGTTATGAATGGAAATGTTAAGATTTTTTTTTTCTCATTTTTCCAGATAGAGGTGCTTAAGCTACCTCGCTACGGCAACTGGATTTTGCTCGTTTCTATTTTGTAGTTTCCCACTGTGCCTTGGTGCCTCTGAAGAGCTCATTCTCTTCCCAGCCTCGTGGAAAGAAATAGGTGACCGCTGAATGCCAACAAGAAGTCCTGGAGACCCCACCCTGCCCTGTGGGTGGTGCAGGGCAACACAGAGCTGAGGGAGTTAGGATGGGAGCCCCTTCCACCTGAGCCCCTGAGGACCTCCTCATCATCATCATCCCTGTGTTCCTTTCTCCGGCCCTGCATCTTCGTGGTCTCAAGTGGTGCCTTTAAAAAGTCAGGGAAACCTGGAATTGTCTAGCTCCATTTTTAGGGGTAGAAGGAGGCTATGCAGCTGCAGACCGAAGTGAGTTCATCTGCCTTCTATCCCCAGGCACACCTCTGCCACACTGCCGACCCAACTACTGTGCCTTCCCCATTAGACTGGGATTATCACCATCTGTCACCGCAGGGCTGAGCACAGAGCACTGAACACACACAGTACTGAAGGCAGTGCTACCTGAAAGGGGACCAGTTGTCTCCTTGGTCCACAGTGAGTTTTGCTGGATCCTGAGAGGGTGACTGTAGTCCTTCGCCTTTTTGTCTCTGCCTTCCTTGAGATAAGCATCGTCTGAAAATCCGAACAGGGAGTAGACACCAGCAAAACAGCCTCACCCTCCTGGGCTATGTATCCCAGGCCCTTTGCTCAGGACACTGCCCCAGCTCCAGAGTTTTCCTGGGACACAGAAATCTCACCATTTGTAGCCTCAGGGATGAATTCCCCCAACCCTAGAATCATTCCCCGGCCATTTCCCCTTGCTATATTAACTCCATGAATTCGAAACACAATGAAAAGGTATATATAGGAGAGGCGTGAGGTCTGTGGGTGTTTTGAGATAAAGCCTGCCTTTGTTGCTCAGGCTAGCCCTCTGACCTGTCATCCTCCCGTTTCAGCCTCCTGCATAGCTGGGATTACGGGGTCTACAGTGCCCCATTCCTTTCCCATCTTGGGTCATTTTGGATTTACATTAAAAATATGTTCAAAGCACAAATTACACAACAATACATTTTCACTGAAAAACACAATCCATGAGAAAAAAGTGTAAAACACCAAGCATGTTATGGAAATCGTGACTGTTGCCTGGCACCTGATCCTAGGATGAATAGCCTCCGTAACCCCAGCACTATCCCAGTACCCCCCATATCCCAGGATCCATGTAGGTAAATTTTTACCAATCACCGGTTTCTTTCAAAATAGAGCCCCCTCTCCAAATTCTCCGATGACCTATCTTCTAGATCCGAGCAGCTGGGGAACTACAGATTTTGTTAGAATTATTCTGCTGCTTTTCTGTTGCGCTTCCCCCTTCCCTTTGCCTGGCCCTGGTTAAGAACTAGGATTTCTCCGTGCTCTCTCCCTGACCGCCGGCTAGCAGTCCCGGCCAACCAGGTCCCATTGCTCTCCCGCCGCTGGACATCCTCCCCTTTAAGGCCCACCCCTCCCCCATGCCCACGCCTCCCCCCCCCAAGCCCCACCCTCGATCCTCCCCTTTAAGGACTAGCCCAGGACGCCGAGCAGCCTGTGACGCGGCCGCCGCCCCCGGGCTGCTACTTCTCGGCGCGGCGATTCCCCCCCGGCCGGGCCCCGCCGTCCCGCGTTCCCCGGAGCGCACGTCTCCGGGGGGAGGGAGCAGGGCTGG